CTGCCTCAGCCTCCAGAGCTGCTGGGATTCCAGGTAAGCGCCYACAGCACTGGGCCCAAGATCTGAAAGCTCTCTGAGGACAGGATAATGCTACTCCGTGTCCCCCTCTGCAGCTCCTACTGGCTTACCACAGGACCTGGTTAAGTGCACACAGGATGGGCTCAGAGGCTGGTCCACATCCACAGACCTCCCTATCTCCCTCTTCTTCTCCTGAGGGGACTAGAAGAAATAATCTGTGTGCAAATGGCAAAAGCTGTCCCTCTGGACACATCTGCTTTTGCACAAGGGTTTTTTATGTTTTGACTCCTCCCTCTTGCCTGAACCTTTTTATCAGTGTTGAGACAGGATTAGGATCAAAGAATGAGAGAGGGATTAGCTTGTGTTTCAGAACCAGCCTTCCCTGGACTGAGAACCCCAAGAACCAGCTAATCCTTCCCGACACTCTCGATTCTCAGGAACAAAAGGCAGCGGAACCACCCTCCTCCCTCAACCAAAGGCACAGGGACACGGAAAGAGGACTTTCTGGTCAACTGGAGAGAAGATGGCGTATGCCTTCAGAACTGGTGGAGGGAGAAAGGAAACCAGGAGCCGCTTCTTCTTCGCCCCCGAGAGGTGTTCATTTGCATCAAGAAAAGGAAAAAGGGGCTGGGGGTTGTGGCTCCGTGGTAGAGYGCTCGCCTAGCACCTGCGAGGCCCTGGGTTCGATCCTCAGGACCGCATAAAGATAAATAAATAAAGACATTGTGTCCAACTAAAAAATAAGTCTTTAAAAAACATSAATAAAATAGAAATGGGATCAGCTATATTTTATGATATTGCCAAGTTACAGACACCTGGTTTCTTTGGAAAGCAAGGATTTCTGTCAGCGCTTACTGCTCCTACCCCTGGTGAACCCGCTGAAGGAAAAGGAACAGCCTCCTTTCCCCCATGTCAGAGGAACCCGGACCGTAGAACCTGGTGCTGGAATTTGAACCTCTGCCCGACACTGACTGGCTGTGTGGTCCCTGGGCCTTGGGCTTCTCAACCGTACAATGGGGCTAGTGGGGGGGCGGGGGATAAAGACTGGAGAGATACTCCGTTAAGTGCTCCAGGCACCCTGAGTGCTCAGGGGGTTAAGCTGTTCCTAGCAGGAGTGTGCAGGTGCTCCTGCACGGCCAGACTCGATCCCTCAATGGCCCTAGGAGGAAACTGCAACCGTCATCACGCCTATTTTATGAAAAGAGAAACTGAGGCTGAGAGATTCCATGATGAGCAACAGTGGCAGGAATCAAGGCCAAGTCTGTCTGATCCTAAGCAGGTGCACAGTGTGCGACACCACACCACTTCCTGGAGCGCACACACACACACACACACACACACACACACACACACTACTACATCACATCAGAATTAGAAAGACGTGCCTACGGCCAGAGCTCCAATTGGGGAGCTGTGAACTTCATCACCCAGGGATTCTGAACGGCTCTCAAACTTTTTCCTTCTTGAGAACAAGGATCCTATTTTCACAACTTACCTATAAGAAAATAACACAGAGATCTGAACACACACAAGGCCCTCGATCAATACCCACTGGATTCGCACGGAAATTCATGCAAGAAAGTGGAGCCACGGCCTGGTTCAGATACAGGATCAAACAACACGCACGCGAGCCAGGAATTCCCCAAAGCCGAGGCGCACCTCACACGGGRCACGTTTTCTGTAGACTGAGAAGGTTTTGATCTCCAGCTAAATTTTCTAACATCATCAAGAATATCGTGTGAGCGAGAATAATTCATGCCAGGGCCTCCAGGTGGCTGCTGTAAAACCCGACAACAACTAGAGGCTTTGAAGGGGATCTAATCCTGGGTTGGTTTGTTCTGTCTTCCCCAAGCGTGACGAAGGGTACTGTGACCTTGGCCGAGAGACCTGGGTATCAGCAAACATCCTAAATGCATGTCCCCATCCCAGGACCAGGGGAGGGAGGCTCAGCAGTCTCTCCATAGTATCTCTACAGAGTTGGTCTCCAAGCARGGGTTGTGGGGCAGCAGTACTTTGGATGAGGTTTGTCCCCCAAGGGTTCCCCAGTTGGAAGCTTGGTCTCTGGTAAGGTGATGTAAAGATGTGGCAGGACCTATAAGGGGAGGCGGGCATACTCAGAGATGACAAGACTCATCTTTCACTTTCTGGCTTCCTGGCTTATGATGTGATATCGCTCCTCTCTCTCTCTCTCTCTCTCTCTCTCTCTTTCTCGTTTCTACTGTGATGAGATCAGCTATGAGATCTCAGCAGCTCATGACAGTATCATGGCCTTGAAGCTCCCAAACCATACCAAAACCATAAGCTAAATAAACTTTTCTTTTTAAAACCACCAAGCCTCAGGTATTTTGTTTTAGCAACAGAAAAAGTGACTGATACAGAGGATATGCCCAATGCCCAAAGTGAAAGAAGTTGGGAATTAATGAAAAGAAACTGTGTGTGTTAGTCAGGTTTTCATYGCTGTGACAAATACCTGAGGTTAATCAACATAAAAGGAGGAAAGGTTTATTTTGGCTCATGTTTCAGTCCATGGTCACTTGCAACTGTAGTTTGGGCTTGTGATGGGACAATGTGTCACTGTAGCAGGACAAGGCACAGGAGGGCTGTTTACCTGATGGCATCTGGGAAGCAAAGACAGACAGAAGAAAGGGCTAGGGGACCAACATGCCCTTCAGGGGTATTCCCCTGGTGACCTCACTTCCTCCCTCCAGGCCCCACCTAAATGCTCCACTGTCTCCTGATAGCACCACAGGCTGGCCACCAATCCATTAGCATGTGGGCTTTGGGGGACACTCCAGATCCAAATACAGCAGACCCTGCCTACAGTTGGATTATTTCTAGGAACTTATAGGCAAGATTTCTTGCTTTCTTTTTTCTTTTTTGCACGTCTGTGCACTGATTTCTGAGGATGGCGGAGCCTAAGCCTATGTCCTTTCTCTCCCTGGTTTAGAGGTAAGCAGTGCAGTGGACAGGCTGGGCGGAGGCCAGGRAAGTTGCAAAGGAGAGACTCCAGGTGATAATGGCAAAGGCAGAGTTCCCAGGGACTCCACATCACATCAGAATGCAGGTCGTCTTCGGTTCCTGCCAGTYGCCGATAGAGCCTTCTGACCTCGGAAAATGTACTCCACCTTTTAAAGCCTTATTGTCCTCCTCTGTAAAATGGGAATACCATCAACGCACACCTCCAAGAGGTGTGATAAGATCATGCATGGAGAGRGACAGGTCAGATGGTGGGTCTGTGATGGACACAGGAAGTCCTCATGAATGCTGGCCACGGCTGTGACCCTGAGAGTGTATTATGGTGAACGGTGTGCACTTTCACATCTATGTAGGGATCAATATTCACAAAGAGCTGCTTACTGTTCTTCATGGCTACTTCCCCAAAGAATCCCCGAGGAAATCAGGACAGACTTCCCGCTACAGGTGAGAAAACAGAGTCTTGACTCATGAAGGGGTTGGTTGGGATTCATGAGCCCAGGTGGTGTCTCCAGCCCTCTACCCATGGCTACCACCGCAGGAAACCCAAGGACCAAGCACCCCGAGGAAAGAACTGGAGTCCAGCCTGCCCGCAGGATAGGGCGAGCACCCACGAGTGYGGGGCTGGTCTGTTCTGGTTTAGTCTATTTGTTGGTGTCCCGATGGATTTTGCAACCCTGGCCATGATGCAGAGCCTGCATAGCTCAGCTATGGGGAGCCCTGGGCCTGTGCTTCCGAATAAGCCGTGGAGTTATTTGCATCATCGTTTATTTTGAATTTTTATGGCAGGAATTTTCAAACAGATGGAAAATAAGAAATAAGAGTAAAATCAGATAAAAGCAGAGATGAGTCAGTAGGGCTGACCTTCCACCTGCCTCAGCCTCATCCCATGCCAACAGCGTTCCATCCACCCTGCCGACCCACGCCTCTGATCCCTGATTTTAAAAAAGGAAATACTGGAGGAATTTTAAAATCATCTAGACCCTCCTGCGCCGGGMAGATTCAGATCTAGCAGGTGCGGGCGGGGGTGGCCAGGATGTGTGGTTCTCCTGGCTGCCTCCCCAGGTGACATGGATAAAGACTCACTCTGGAGCCATCAAATTGGGTGACCACTGCAAGCAACCAAGGGATGGGTTCCGTGAAGGGAAATGGGCACACCCCTCAGCTACGCAGGCTCACAGGGGACTGCCCTAGAAGACRGAACAAATGACTCAGAACAGAAAGGCCTGAGAGGTTGGTCCACAGGTCTGAGATGCCGACCTTCCCAAGAGAGGGCGTCCGTGTTTCCACAGCTCCATTGCTGCGCCCACCACCCTGCACCTTAGCAGTCTGCTGGGACCTCCCGATCACCCCATTCACCCCATCCTTCCTGGTGGGCAGGAAGCTACCGGGGCACTCTGTGTGAAGTTGATGGCGCTCAGCCATGCTTGACCTTCCAAACGTCCGCCTGGGGACCAGACCTGATATTTAGTAGGCAGTCAATACAGGTTTCAAGAAGAAATCAACACAGGGTTATAAGGGCTCCAGGATGGCAGACGCCAAGCTGGTCTTTCTCGTTGACCCCAACCACAGTGCCACTCCAGTGAGCAGGTGGCAGCGCGCAGCAGGGCTGGGTGCCCCCCGGACATTCAGTAATGACGGGTAATGGCGAGGCTGTTATTAGCCAAGGCCTAGAGCTCCCAGGAATGGAGCCAGGACTTGAACCCAGGACGGCCCAGCTCCAATCTGCCTGCCTTCCCATGCGGTGTCTGTCCTGGGAAAGCAGTAACCAGAGGCCTCCCAAAAGAGGCCCTCAGYCATGGGGGTGACACACGGGCAGGCGGGAGTCAGACCAGCTCACGAGTGCCAGACTGTGCGCAGCTGGACGGGTGAGGAGCCAAGCGGGGGCACCTGCTCTGAAATCACTTCAGAGGGCACAGCCTCGGATCCAGGAGGGTAGACAGAGAGTCAGGCAGATGGAGGCCCACGGAGGGCAGGACCCCCAGGGAGGGTGGGCCCCGCTTACTTACCTCTTTGCTCTATCTTTCTCATCTTCATCCATTAGATTTTCTATGCAGTTTTTCCTGCAAAACAAAACAAAACCCAGGTGATCACCGTCTGCTTCTAGATCTTTCTTCCAGGTCTTTCTGGTGGTCACACGTTGGCCTTGTCTCATTCTATGCCTCAGCTCCTGCAGCTCTCAGACTCTTTGGTCTAACCCCCCCTTTGTGCTCTCGAAAGTTACTGAGGACTCCCGAAGCTCTTGTGCAGGTGGGTTTACACTGAGAGACGTYTCGCACGCCATCAGACGTCACAGTGACGAAGCCGTCAGCTGACAGCTGCTGGAAAAGTCCACCATAGGTTCAGGAGAGAAGGCACGGTTTTTAAAAAGCAAATCATTATCTTTTCAAAAGGCTTGGTCCCCAAGACCTGGCTCCGCCCTATGGGAGCAAGACCCTCAGACCTTCCCTCAGGCTGTGCAGGCTCACAGATGCGAGCTCTTGAGTGACAACCCAGGAATGTTCTTGCAGCGTGAAGTCAGCAGGACCTACCTCACTGCAGGGCCTCTCCTGTCCCAGGCCACTAGCTTGATGCCTCTCGGGCCCAGTGACCTGCTTTCCTCTTCTGCCCCATGTAGGCCTGGGATTATTCCACTTCCAGAGCAAGGCCCTGATCCCTCCTTTCTTTCACACACCTCCCAGAGCCCCACCTCCAGCCAGCACACCAAGTCCCAGGGGCTCCTGAGACCAGATCCTGCTGGAGACTGCAGGCAGAGGGTGGCAGGAGCTGAGTGACTGAGGTAGGGGTGGGGACCACAGGGACGCTGAGTCACCCCGACCCACAAGGCTTTGCTCTCAGCCCCGAGCCTCTGAAGTCAGACCGCTGAAACCCACACGTTGCAAATGCACCAGCAATTTCTCTAGAAATTGGGTGTTGGATGAGAGTTTTAATGGCGCTCTCCCTGAGATCATTCAGTTTGGTGATCTTGGTTACCGAAGTGCGTGGATTTGAGCCAAAGCGAGGACGCGAGGGATTCTGAAGTCAGGGCCTCTGTTTACAGAGACGCCCCCTTCTGTAAACAGCGGGCGCAGTTAGGGACAGACAGCAAAAAAAAAAAAACAAAAAAAATGCATTCAGCGTTGAGGTTTGTATCACAATTAACCTGGGGTTAACACATCTGCAAACAGGCCTGTGCTTAATGTCTTCCAGATGGAATCTGCTCCAAGCTTTACGGCCTTAAAAACCTGGTGTCGATTCATCTGAGGATGCCCTGCCCTAGGCCTCTGCTCCCAACCCCAAGTGGCCAGAGCAGGAGTGAGGACCCCACAGAGCTGCATCATCCGTGTCCTGCACCAGCAGCCCCTGGACGGAGCATGCTCACAGGGACATGGACTGCCCGAGGTGTTGGGGTCCTGCTTGGGCGAGTGGGGTGGCTTGGTCATAAACCAAACACTAAAAATGACTAATAGCGCTCCCTTATCAACCCCATCTTCTCTGACTTATGTTTAGCCTTAAACATTTCCTGAATCCACGGAGCTTGGACGGTCCACACCCACTTCCTCTGCTTCCCTGCCCCTCCCATGTCCCTGCCCCGATTCCTCTCCCTCGACCCAGACAAGGCCCATGAATGGCTCCCCTGTGCAGATCAGGCATCCGAGCTCTCCAGCAGCACCTGCTGCAGACATTCTTGCTGATGTCCTTACGGGCCGTCACCTCTGTGGTCCTCTAAGTCTTCCCCATACATTTCTTTTTTATTTGAAACATCGTGGTGAAATAGACCCAATAAAATCAACCTCCTTAACCATCTGTGTGCGCAGTTTAGGGCACGAAGCGGGCCTCCATCTCCTCCTCCACCTCTAGGACTCTTCTTGTTGCAAAACTCAAASGAACACACGGAATCACAGGGCTTGTCCTTTGATGACCACCGACTTCACTTGGCATAACCTTGAAATTTCTCCTTTCCAAGGCCGAATAACACGACAGGCTAGAGTTTTCCCCTCTGATGTCTGTGAATGTGCTGCTCTTATGAACACACGCACACGACCCCCTTATTGGATTGTTTTGGGGTTTTTTTGCTTTGTTTTATTAGTGAGTTATATTTATACATAATATCGGGGCTCCTTTTGGTGGAAGTCTACAAGCACAGAATACTGTTTGTTCCAATTCAGTCCCAAGAGCTCCCCTGCCTCTCCCCTCCTCCCTCCCTCTGTTCCCCTTCCTCTACCTACTGGTCTTCCTTCAGTTTACCTACAGGTTTTCAAAAAATCAGTGCTTTATAGATGTACACAGGAGAGTTGGTCCATGTCCTTCCCCGTCCCTCCCTTTTCCTGTCCTATCGTATTTTTGAGCCACTCTCTTCCTTTCTGAGATGCAGGAGCTGGAGAGAAGCCAAAGCCAAAGTAGGAAGGGTCTCAGAGAGAGGTCGGGTTAAAGGACTAACAGAGACGTTTAGGATTAATAAAGGAACAACAGGGAAGTTTGTTTTAGATTTTGTTTTTGCAGTGCTGGGGGTGGACCCTAGGGCCTCGCACATGCCCGGCGAGCACTCTCCAACGGACCAAACCCATAACGACTGTTCTCAGCTGTAGAAAGATTTTCCAATGAGAAAAATTTTTGAACAGCTATTTTTTTTTTATGAGCACAGAGTGCCAGGGCATAGAAAATGAGCTCCAATGAGGCAGAGGAGATTCTCCTTGGAGCTGAGAAAACACCTGTTGATGTTGTTGATGTCCAGAGGGAAGCAGGAAGGCGGCAGTGGGGTCTTGGCTCCCGATCACTGCATGGACTGAGCCGTGTGAGGCTTAGGTACCAGGATTCCAGGGGAGACAGACGGTGCAGGTAGGATGCTGGGAGGAGACCTTACCTGCCACGCTGTGGGTGGGGAGCGGGAGACCAAGAAGGAAGCCTTGTCCCCTGGGGTTGGTGACAGCAGAACTGGGGGACAAGAGGGTTTCCCCAATCTGGAAGGGGACAGCCTTGGATAGAGGGACACAGCCAGGAAGGGGTGCAAGGGAACACATACCCTCAGTCACCCTCCTGCTCCCATCCTCCCCCTCCCCCTCAGACAGCAGGGAGCTCCGTGTCTGAGCGCTGCGCTCCCCTTCTGTGAACATCTGATGTTGGTGCCGTTCACTGAAACAGCATCATGCGCGGAACCACCGCTGACAGGATTATTAAGCAGATTCCACGCTTTCTCTGGATCTTCTCGGGGTTGACATCTGCCCCATCTCTGTTCCAGGGCCCATTCATTGGCCGCCACCCATTGCACTTCCTTGCACATCTCCCAGGTTCTTCTCAGCTAGTCTCTCAGGTAAATCCTTGGTTTTGAAGCCCTTGGACATTTTGAGAAGGTCTTTTTTTTTTTTTTTTTTGGTTACTGAGGATTGAACCCAGGTGTGTTTAACCACTGAGCCACACTCCCAGCACTATTTTGTATTTTATTTAGAGACGGGGTCTCACTGAGTTGCTTAGGGCCTTGCTAAGTTGCTGAGGCTGGCTTTGAACTTGAGATCCTCTTGTCTCAGCCTCCTGAGCCTCTGGGATTACAGGTGTGCACCACTGTGCCTGGCTTGAGAGGTTTCTGTAGGGTGTCCTTCAATTGGTCGGTCTCTCCTGCTTGAACCAGGCACACGGGATGTGGGTGGAAGACCCCCCACGGGGCAGTGCCTTCCTCCTCACATCCTGGAACCTGTGTCACCTGTCACATAGCTGTCRGCCTAAGGCAGAAATCCACTTATCATTAACTGGGACATGAGTCGCGCTAACACATCGTATGTACAATTCATCTTTCTTCAACTCTCCAGGTATTCTTTGTCCAGGGGAAGAATCTCTAAATTTAAAGCAGTGGATCCAGTTATTAATCCAAGTACCCTGTCTCCCCTGTGCTCTCAGGCTTCCATATGTCATTATTGGACTTTGGTCAGATTAATAATTGGACTTGTTCCCCAGCCTTAGAGGCACATCGCCTAGAAACCTAATGAGCATTTCATTAGAAAATACAACCAACCTGCTATTTACACAAGATTCTTGTTTCCCGACACSGCGATGCCCTGTGTCTGCTGTATCCCAGGAGCACACTGATTCCTGTGGTTCTGTGGCAATTCCTGGTATCAGTGTAGGACGAGCCTCTCAGTGCTGTTCTCGTCCCAGATTGCCCTGGCCATCCCAGCTCTTGCATTTCCATGCAGATTTTAGACCGATCTGTTAACTTCTGTAAAGATGCCAGCTACGACCTGGGTGGCCATGGTGTGGAACCCAGGGATCGATTTGGGGAAAACTGTCCCAGGGATGTCGAGGACTCTGGTGAGCCAACGGGACATCTGTTTCTAGATGCCTCGACTTCCGAGCTCTGTGACGCGGCTGCTAAGTGTATTCACCCAAGGGCCGACTGTGCCCTCTGTGTGATGTGCAGGGTGCAGGACAACAGGGACCCCYGTGAGCAGAGCCCCTTTTTACATGCCACTTCTGTGGGGTAGGGGACACGTGCATGTTGACAAGCGAGGACAAACCACAGGCAGGGGAATTAATGAACATAAAGCCACCCCTCGCTTGTCACTGCCATGGAGAAAAGTCAAGAACCAGGGAACAGTGAGGGAGGGTCATGGTGGAGTGGGGCGGGGGCAGGCTTCGGTATTTTTGGGGATCACAGGGGACCTCCTTGGAGAGATGCTATTTGGACTTTGATTAGCAGGAAGTGAGGGGACCATGAGGGATACCTCCGGCAAGGCCCCTGGGCAGCAGGAAGAGCACAGGACAGACACGAGGCCACGGTGGCGGGTAGAGCTGGTGCAAGGGGCACAGAGCCAGAGAAGGGACGGAGGTGCCTCGGGGAGACAGGGGGCAATGTGGCTTTTCATCCCAAGTGGGATGGGGCTGCATTCCCATCCCACTCTGGGAATGAACYGAGGTTCTGAACAGAAGAGTGACAGTCACCGGCCTCTAAGGACAGTGGTTGTTCTAAATGAACTGAAGTTCACCAAACCTGCCGCGTAGCAGACGCTCAAAAAAAGGCTCTCTGCTTCGATGGACAGGGTTAGGTGGGATGATCTTCACCCATCCACGATGGCTCACCCACTGGCCCC